TGCGTTCGTTTTCCACGTCGATTATCGAGACGCAGCAGACCGTGTCCAAGGAATACAGATCAGACCGCCTCCGCAGTATAGAAACTAATTTTATCACCATAAAGAAATAATTCCGCCTTCACGAGCCAAAAATACTCGCAACTCATATATACCGCGTTTCTGAAGCTCAATATTTCCTTTTCTTTCGAATCTCTTGCCTTACGGTTTGTTTTCAAAGAAACGTGCGTGCGCATTCTATTTAATTTGGCACAACTCGATGCGAGGGGTTGTCACAAAATGAAACTGAAATATCTTTGTTTTTTTTTGTACGAATGTCGATACAATTTCATTTGTAATAGAACATATTAATAAAGTTACGCTAACAATAAATAAAAATTGAAAAATATCCTGTTTGAGTTACAATGAAATTGAGACCATTATATAATTAATATATATTAATGAAATTGAGTTATAATGATATTGAGACCATTACATATTTAATATAATATTAATATCATATCAATATCATCAATATCATTGTAACTCAAACAGGATATTTATCAATTATAATATATATATATAACGTAACGTAACTTAACATAATTGAAATTATTGTGAACAAAATTTACGAACTATTTCTATTCATTTTTAATATTGTTTATTTTCTAATAATTGTAATTAGGTTTAATTGTATACAAATGAGATTGCCGTTTGAGACGTGTGCAATTTTTAACGAAAATATTCAAGCCCTAAAGATTGATTTTACTTTAAAAATTTCCGGAACATTTGATAATTAAATGTAAAATATACTACTTATCAGCTACATCATTTTACTGACTGTTGAAAAAAATCATTTTTTTTTTTAAATTGGAAAATCCCGTATAACACGGGACAATAGCAATTTGCGTTATTGAATTGAACTTTTCGATTGAACATTCTTCTTTTTCTACACGTACATTATTGTTTTCCATTAATACGCAAATGATTACCGGCACACGAACGCAATCACACATTCTGTGCAAGACTTTTATTCGTTTTCATTGATTGCAATTTGCGTAATAGATGCGCGTGTCACGTATTCTATGAATTCTGAAACACGTTTAGCACATTTATTACTAGATTGAAGATTTCATGCATTTGCAACAAACATGAATACGTAATTACGTAAGATAGAACACAGTGATAACTTTAAATGGATTTCACAAGGCAGTTAGGTTCTCGTCAACTTATTAAAATTAGTAAAAAAGAAAATAGAGAACTTGCGTTTAACTTTTACGGTAGCGATATGCTTTTTCGGTAGCGTACACAGGTTTAATCATAACGTTCATCTAAACATAATTAATAGTTCTTCAAAATGAAAGACAAAAATTTGTTCAATGCTTACAGTAATATCATTTATAAAGCGATAAATTGTCTCTTCGGTAATACAATCGAATAACTTCTTTTGGGAATTTAATTTACAGAATGCAATTTATATATATATATATATATATATATATATATATATATATATATATATATATATATATATAAAAAAGAA